TGTGTGTGTGTGTGTGTGTGTGTGTGTGTGTGTGTGTGTGTGTGTGTGCGTATGTCGTAGCATCGACTGTGACATTTAATAATATCGCCGCCGGTTCGAGTATCATATTTGGCGGTTAAATGTGCTCGATTTTGTAATGTCTCTTTTGCTAGAGCTTCAGAACGTTGAATCCCCATTCCTCGATGAAAAACCTTCATTTCAGCCAACCACTGGATCTCTTTCTTCATGTATCACTGAATTTGTTAATAATGCAAAAGACGAAAAAAGGGTGACAGTTCTACCGCGAAAATTTATGTAAAATTGATGACAGGCTGCTGGGTGGCACTGGGAATGTTCGTTTACTGCTAAAGAGACTGAAAACGTCCTTCTATACGTCAGTTTCGCTCATCCATGTGATATCACATAAGGGACCGCGCAGATCACGTCTGTATTTCACCCGCAGCTGTCTTTGTCTAATATCCGCTACTCGCAACTAAACTGTAAAAGATTAAAGAAGAAGACTCAGCTGTGGCTTGAGCCACGTCTGCTAATGGTTCCAGCTGAATTTTTTGAATGAAGATCACTTCAGATGTTCTATGTTTTTCCGTGACCTGCAGTCCCATGAAAACAACGATATTCGCTTGCAACTCCCTCAGCATAACTGACTGATAAATATTGCGATAGCTAAATTAGTTCCTACATCTAATCTTTTGCATATTTTGATTTACCTCTAATCTACCGGTTCTATCTGTCGTCGTTGCCAACCATCAACATAAATCAACAAATGACCCCTAACTTTTGTTCTGCTCTGCGAACACATACATTTTGCATGTAACTTATGTGCAGGGATCATATTCGCTGCAACGCAGCAAAAAAGTCCGGAGAGAAGAATTATTGGCCTAGTTGTTAGCCGATTTTCGCAGTAGGAGTAAGAAATTCTGCAGACGTGAAGAAATCCTAACGACCCACAAATTAATTTCGTTTTCCTCCAGCATTTTCCAACAATATCGCCGCATTCTGACGCAATTCGTCACGGATCATCCAACCAAACTGCGAAGTTGCATCCTCTCTCCAGCCGGTCTTATATTTTCATTTTTTCTTCAGCTTCGAAAGGGCGGATTTTTTGAAATTCGCACAGCGACGTTAATCTTGACAGTCAGTTTAAAGTTCATTCATTTTCGCACCTGTTTCAGCGCATCAGTACCAGTCTCGGAACTACACGAATTAACAACTTTTTGAGCTTCACCGGCAGTAACTGCATTAATCTGAGAGTCTGCTGCAAAAGCTTTTCAAGTTTTCAATGTATTTATGCTTTCAAGCGGTGAAATAGTACGATACGATTATGTTTGTGTACGTGCATATTTGCCCAAATCAGAACCAAGAGAGTTGAAGCCTAGCCCTTGCTCGCTGTCCGTAAACCCGCTTCCGTGTTCTTCAGTAGCATCCTCAGTCCAAATCGAAAATCTGCAATTCAAAATTAACTTACGAAATCGAACTCATTTTGAACTCATTTTTCGACTTCGCTCTGTCTTAACTAGTTATGGCAACTTTAAACTGAACCTGATTTGGTAAATCAGGACCATTCAAGTCAGAATTTAAAATTTCGCCGGTTTAAATTTGTCAAATAGGTAAAGAAATGACTATAACGCAGTACAACCACATTTTGAATTTTGCTGGCGCTTCCACAGCCACTGATCATAAAAACGCATGGGTGCGTCAAGTCCGTTGTAGGCGCCGCTATACATTGAATTTAAGGATATTCAATATTCGCGTTATTATTTGATTCGACGGCTGGAACGACTCAATTAATGGCTTCACTGTCAGCCACCAGTATAGTGCCTCTTTCGTCGACATTATCAGATGTATTCTTGGCCGCATTCAGGGTTTGTTTCGTCAGTTGTACAATATTAGAGGCTTTTACTCTGTGGTACAACCGCCCCAACACGAAATGGTGTGGTTGTTTCTGCAGCTGTGCTCAGGCAGTTGTTTTCGCGATGGGTCTAGGGGCGGAGATAAACGGGAGCTTTCAAACGAGTGCTTCACGCACGACTCGGATGGCAGCAGTGGTTAGTACAGAGTATCAAGGAATCCTAGAATTTAGGAGGTACGAAGAGTTTGTTATTTCTTAATCTGCACATAATTCCTTCAAAACTGCAGAAGAACGTGTTTTTTCGGAGTTACTTCTCATTAACTCTGGTACTCAACCTCACTGTATCCAACGCGCATGCTGCTACATGACTGAAATCACTGTGTACTCGTAAAATAGAAAGAGATTTCTTACAAATGCCGCACGAGCAGATGTACTAATCTCGGCTAAAACGTCTTCAGCGTGGTAGCATACTATTGAAGACTGTATGTTCGTCATCATCGGCGCGGTCCCTTACTTTTTTGACTGCTTTTTTTAGCTGCATGAGTTTTGCCTCAAATCGGGAATTAGGAACCAACAAGTTATCTTCGTAGGGTATGCGCTGCTAACGACACTGCCGAGTTTTGTGCTTTGCTTCGTTATTAATCAGTCTATTGCAGTTTGCCTCCATTTTTGCAAAATATGCTAAAACTGTTGGTGTTACAGCACGAAGTGCTCTGGGCGTTAATTGTCGGCATAATATTAGCATTTTTATTGGGTTTTGCTATGGGCGCCAACGATGTGGCCAATGCTTTCGGTACATCAGTGGGCAGTAAAGTGCTCTCGCTACGACAGGCTTATCTGTTTGCTATTATTTTTGAAACGCTTGGTGCATTACTTGTCGGTATGTTGCGTCTGCTAGAATATGCCTCAAAGCAACTGCTTATTCATAGTTCTCCTCAAATCCACTAAAATCTTCGATCAGCTTCTGTTTCCTTTCTTTAGGATGAGAGCGCAGCTGCGATCTCTTTGGATGAATGAAATCTGGGAAATACTTTAAGTCGTAGTTTCATTAAAAACAACATGTTGAGTCGTAACAAAAGTGGTAAATTGAAATCATTGGACAAGCAACGCTCTACTGCGTTTCTGCTGGTTTCCAATTTTTTTTGGCCAAACTTATCGCAAGCTGCATCGCTATGGGCGAGTTGTCACTGGCACAGCAGAGTATTAATCATATTTCAGAGTACAGTTTAGAAATTGCTTCCGACATTTTCAGGTTACAATGTAACAGACACGATGCGTAAAGGTGTTGTGGATGTCACTTTGTATGACAGCTATCCGAAAGAAATTTTTGTCGGGCAAATTGCCATTCTTGGAGGTTGGTACTGCAAAAAGATCCCTTTTGAAAAAAAAAGCAATATCGCCTGCATGCTTCCGACTTCACCTATGCGTAATTTTATGCCAGACTGCACTACTTGAGGTTTTTTACTGCCCCCAACCTCCATTTTGTGCCAGCGGAATTCGCAGGGCACATGAACTATAATAATTCTTTTCCGGCTGTCTGGAAAGGTTTTTGCTTTTGCTTTGTATTTATGACAAGCGTACCAAACATAGGTAGCTAAGGCAGAACGACCGGCCACAGTTAAGTTCGACGTGTGACTGCATTCCAGTAGCATCAGTATTCCCCATTTCTGAGGTTAACGCCGTACTCTGATAAGACATATCTCTTGCACCACAGAAATTTTGGCAAAATATAACTAAATGACCAAATTTTTGTGATGGGAAGAAACTACTGTAGAATATATGGCTCTCCTGAAAAATGTCGGAAGATGCTTTTTACAGTTCTAGAACAGCTCTGCAGATTAATCTTAACTTTTTAAACAACATTTTGGCTGTGAAATTTAGCAGTGGCAAATAGAAATTTTGAGAAACCGCCACCGATCTAAAGAAATAAAGGTCATTTTTTCTCAAAAACGAAGGCTTTTTTTTGATTAGGTCTGATGGGGCCTACTATTTTGAGGATGCTCAATGTGGTTGCTAATCGCGACATTCGCTCGTTTACCGGTCTCATCAACACATAGTATCATTGGTGCTACGGTTGGTTTCGGTTTGGCAACAAGAGGCGGAGCTGGAGTGCACTGGCCAAAACTTATTCATATCGGTAAGAGCTATAATAATTTTTATACGTTTTTGCGTGTACGCAAATGCAAAAACTCATATGGCGACAACCCATGGTGTGTGTATTTTGTGTGTGTGTGTTGTGTGTGTGTGTGTGTGTGTGTGTGAGTGTGTGTGTGAATGTATGCTTGAGCGTGTTTGAGTGTATGTTTGTGTGCATATATGTGTGTGTGTCTGTCTGTCTGCCTGTTCGGGTATTTCAACTTGGCAACCAATCAAACATCGTTGCTGAAATATTCCCAGCGGGGTCCTTGGCCAGACGTCACCCCAGGGCCGTGGTATCAACTTTCATGCACGTTTGAGGTTTGGTGGGAAATTGCTAACTGGTAGCCAGAAAAGCTAGGAGGGTAAAATTTTAAGGGAGTGTTCCCTCTCCATGGTATGCGTCGTTCTCACGTACGGGTGCATGGAAGTTTTGACGGGAGGATTGCTCAGTATGCAATTATCTCATTTTCAAGGAATGGCTGTTCGACAAAAGTTGTTCATTTTCCTTTGTGCAAAATTTGCGGTTACTTACAGCAGTACGTGCGCGAGTTAAATCTAAAGCAGCAACCATTCATGCAATTAACGATCTCACTGCTTCAAGTTTAGCGCAAAAACGCATGATCGCACCGGCAGGCTTGATACGTTCCAACCTGGGTTTCCCTTCGGCAACCTCTACTGTCGCATCGTTCCTTTCGTAGTGTTGCAGACATCTTCGGTGCTTCCTGACATGCACAGTGAGTTGCGATTTTATATAATTGGTGCTTTTAAGATTTCAAATCTTACGCATTTTAATGACGGGGTGTTAAAAAGAGCATGAGATTTGTTTGCCATTTGAACAAAAGAAATTTCAAAACTGGCTGACGAATAAGGAGGAGGAAGAAAACTTCGAGATTTTCTTGTTTCACGCAAAATCACTTGCCTCCTCATAGTGAGCAAAGCGAAGGAAATTTTCACATTAAACGGATTTTACTTTCTCTGCGCAACACTCACGTACCGGAATATTTGGTTTTCTGCGTGGTAGCAAAGAAATGCATCCTTCGCCCCGATGCCTCCTGATTCTTTTTAAGTGACGCATAATTTCTCAGTTTGAAATATTATTAAGAATTCAAGATCAGATAATAATCTTCTAGCTGAGGCAAGTTACGACACCACATTTGATTGATTTAATTTGTAGTTGCGTCCTGGTTCGTGTCGCCTGTACTCTCTGGCCTTGTGTCTTGTTTTCTCTACATCATTGTTGACCACTCAGTACTGAGAAGGGTAAGTTTACAGATTATTGTGAAATTTTTCTTTAAATAGTTCTTCGCCCCATTTTTGTTAAAAATAAGTTGTCTTCAATTAATTTTTGGCTTTTCGACAGTTTGGATTGATAGCGTTCCGGGAGTGGGCGGACGGCGCAGAGGGAGTAGCCACTTTTTGTTTTTGTAAAAACGCGAAAACATCCAATTAAGATAGAAAAACTGAGTGAAATGGAATAACGGTCAGATAGATGCCACGAAACGTGATCATGTAGTCCCGGCATTTCTTAGTTTTGTTTATTTATAAGGAAATGCAGAATGGTGGAAAACATGAAATTTATTGTCATAATGATTTCAAAGATGGCGGAAACTGTAAGGCAGATGGGGAGGAGGATTTTGAGATCTTTTTTTTTAAACACACAATTTCTTGTAAACTACACTTCAAGTTAAGACATTTTTTAACCACTTATTGATAGGCTGTCAACAGCGCAGTCTCCGACTTTTTAGATCTGGGAGCGGTTGCGTAGGGCCAAGCATGTCCGTAGCTTGGATTACCTGTGCGAAGTCCTCGGCATTATTAACCATGTTTCGATCACAGCTGTGCTGAACACTTGCGATCTGAGTTTCGCAGTCTGGCGAGGCTTTTGCTTGCTTGATATTGTTTCGACAAAATACTCTGCGTACACTGGTTTCATCACTCCTGATAATTTTTGTTTCTTTTGTTTATTTTTTAGAAAAATCCATTTCGCAGTGGATTGATTGCTTTACCAATATTTTACTGGTTTTGTATTGCGTTTAACGTGCTTGCAGTCAGCTACCAGGGTTCCAGATGTTAGTCGATGCTTTTTCTTCATTTTATACCTTGATATCTTTCTCTGTCGGTGATGAACAAGAAAAGGGAGACGCTTTCTTACTCGTTCTGGTTAAGCCAAAATCCTCAGGTTACGATAAAAAAATGCAACACATTGGTCCAAA